TATACTCTGCATGTGAAAGACAGGATCTTGGCCACTGAGCATAAGAAGGTTCTTCTCATGGTGGTTAATTTGCAATGGCCACTTCCCCCATTTAAATTTGTTACCACTTGGTTCTAATCTTTGGCTGATCAACACATATGTGGGATGCATGAATATGCCTCTGTGAACACATTTCTTTGATATCTGCCAAGCAAAAATGGTCAGAGGAAGAACAAGTTAAGAAGACATTTGATGTAATTGAAAACATGGCTATGTGTAGCACTTTGAACGTTTACTTTCCCGAACTCTGGGTATGTGTTGGAGGAGGATGCTGCAAATGGGAAAGCAGATTTACTTGACAGGAAAAAAAAATTTGCTTCTTACATACATACCATATGCCTGCCACCCCTACAAAATTTGCCAGACGTTTTAAAATAAAAAAGGCTTCCCTTCCCTGAATATTAATGACACAGATAAGTCACTACTATTAATGACTAGAAAATGTAAACAGTGGCAGCAAGCCATGAATACAAGAGAGATGACAATGATGTGAATCTTTCTGCCAATATAAATATTGCACAATTCATCAGTTTGTGATGAATACGTTTTCTGAGATTAAGATCCAGAAAAATTACTTAGAAGCATGTCAACAATCCCACATCCCAAGTACTCTCAGTTTTCTTTAGCAGATTAGAATTATTGACCACAATCTCTGGCAAGTTGTCCTGTGAAAGAGGAGGCGGCCAAAGAGACATGTTGATGCCTGACAGAAAAGCTAGAGTGCTTTCACTACAAATAAGAAGTAAAACCCAACAACTAGCAATACTCTTTCATGGAACCTTCAAATCTACTGGCTTGCCCTTCTGTGGACTGCATTGATGAAACTGGACCAGTACAGGAGCATGGCACTTTTTGCTAAGTTCCCATTTCTTTTATTGGGCTTGTGGAATGTCTCATTGGCACCAGTCATGAATAGGGCAGTGAATCCACTCCCAGTGGAATAACAGAATCACAGAATTGGAAGGGATTGCAAGCATCATGCAGGAATACACAACTAAGGGGCTATACAGACCGGCCAAAAAGGCCAGCCTGGGGGTGGAGTCAGGGCATGGTGACTGCCCCGACTCCATCCCGATGCTGCTGTCATGCCGCAGGATAATGGGGAGTGGGCTATAGGCTCATTTACTGGAGGGAGGACAAGCTACATTGTACACTGAGACTCTATCACACAACTCCTTGCCACAATCATGTTACTGAAGGGAAGTGAATATACCAGGGATTGGAAGCACTCTCTACTGTATGTCCTTGCATGACCGTTTGTTGCTGGCCCCTTGTGCTCTCTTCCATCTTTACCCCGGCCTCCCTTCCCTATTCCCTACCTTGTGTTTGTGCGCGTGTGGTTATTTTTAAATGCAATTCTGGAGTTATGCTAATGCGATTTTTTAAAAAAGAAAAGAACCCAGCTGTTCTATAATAGCAAAGGGGAGGAAAGATGGGAGAGAAGGTGACACTGACACCATGCGACTGTGCAATCCCAGAATTTTCACATGATAATTTACCACATCTGTGGACTAGCACTATACCAACACCATTGGGAGCTTATTGGTGGTTTTTTTCCCCAATGGCAAACCATCATTGGAGGACAAGGCTATGATGAGAGGGAGATGGTGTCATGCGATGCTTATCGCCAAAGGCACTATTATCAAACTTTTATGGCAGTGTAAAAGCCATGTATGATAAAGTCCCAAATCTGTTCTCTAACCCCCTTGACATCGCCACCCAACTCCCAGCATCTGCTGTCTGATGTGGTGCCTCACTCTCTTTAACGGCAGAACCAGCTGTGTGCATGAACCATATACGGTACCTCTTTTCTTCTAGACATTTTTGGAGAGACTGTATATATAAATAGGTTGGTGATTTCCACACAGCATGGTTACTCTCTCCCTGCAGCAAAAGGGGGCAAGATAAAGGGCTACAAATATTGAACTATTGTTGATTGGGTTAGAATAACAAAATCTTGGGTTGTTGGTTTTGTTTTGGTTTTTTTTTGTGGGGGGGGAGAGTCCAAAAGGTACCACTTCAATACAGTTCTTGCAACAAGAGTAATGTAGAAATCACTGTAGTGAGCAAAGCATTTTGTGCAAATGTTCACTGTACTGAATTGCTTGGGTGTGATATACAACCTAACCGTGGTCCTGAACTACTTTGCTATGTCCAAGTCTTAACAATGGATCCATTGTAAAGCAAACAGCTGAAGGAGATTTTTTTTAATAAAAAAAAGTATTAGCATGCCATACCAAAGACCTTATCATCTCTGTATGTTGACAGAAAAGAAACAGGCGGGTAGAAATTAAAAGCACAAGTATGCGCCCAAGTGAAGATATTAACATTAAAACAAGGGATCTATTCTCTAATATGTGACCTCTGGCTGGAAGCATTTCTGTAGAAGATCTCTGGCCATTTTTTAAAAAAAGTTTCATTTTGGTCCCATTTGCTTTGGCATAGAATATCTTCTCCACAGGCAAGCTGGGAAAAAAGCTGTATTTGCCACTCATGTGTCTCATAATTCTAGAATCTGCCAGAGCCACAAAATAAGGGAAAACATGTCCACCTCACAGATGGGCAAGAAGCTTTGGTGACTCAGTTAGCATGTTAAATTATTTTGGTATTACTTGTCTTGTATTAAGTTAGGGTGTGGGAGGACTGAGCCAAAGGGAACCCTGGCCATATTTGATTGTTAATTCCCAGTGATGAGGGGCTTCTAGAAAATTCTCAGGAAGAAGTGATTCAGCTTCCTAGGAAACCAAAGAAAACTGTGGCTGCTAGGAGGAGGCGCCAAATAAACATTGAAGCCAGTGAAGGAACATGGAGGCATTCCTGCTGAGAGAACCTATTCATGTGGAGACCACTGAAAATATATCTCCATTCCTTCAAGTCTGACTAGATGCTATTTTGAGAGTAGAAATGATGTCAACTCTTCATGTCGGAAATTCAAATTTACCCCACATTCTTTTCCTCTGTGCATGTTGAATTAAATCAGGACTTGTGCACATGGTTCTAATGTAGGAGTAGGGGACAATCTTGGCAAGTTGCAGATTGCTTTCTTTTTTATTTATCCTAAACAAGTGTGATTAAAAAAAAAAAAAACACTTTTGCCACCCACATCTGAAGGAAGACATTGTACTTGGCATCTAGTTTTACTTGGTTTTGTGTGTCACCTTTGTCCCTGAGGAGCTGAGCACTGAGATGAGAAATAGGTTGAGAGAACTGGGTCAGCCCAAAGCATCTTAGTACTTATGAATATAGCTATTATCAATCAATCTTTATTTATGGTCAATGGGCCCAGTTTGACACGCTCTAACTCAATCTGATAATTTAATTTTAAGTGAATGATCTGTATGTTTATGTAACATTTCTATACCTACTATATGAGCATACTTGTTGGCATCCTCCAACATAATCTGGTGGTTTGTAGTTTCTGGTGAGATACTTAGAATTCTTCGCTAAAGATCTCTGTTGTAAT